TCTTAGAGGATCTCAGGTAGATGTTCTTAATATCCATTATCTCTTAACCAGACCTGCAGTACCTACTAGGCTCTCAGACTCACCTGTATGGTATCTCATAGAGGACCTTCTTATGGAAGGGTGACTTTCTCCCTGGATGTTTAATGATGGGAGACCAAAGCTGTCTTCAGACAAGACAAAATGAAAAAAATTAAGCATGGTCCTCTAGCCAGACTGGAGATTCCAAAAACATCAGCTATGTCTTGTCCAGCCCAAGGCTGTACTCTTTGAGGGAAAATGGCAGATGAAATATTTACAGCTCCCTCTATCTGCTCATTAGGTATATTTCCTCCTTATAACTACAATCTCTTTGTACCTGATTTCCCTTGCGGACACTGGTCTGGGAAAAATAAATTTTTTCCTGTTGATTTGCTGTTCTCAAGAGACCAAATTGAAAATATGATGAACACAGTCTTTATCACACATTTTGTATGAACTCTCTTGCCTCCAAAAGGCATTAACACCTTTCACCAACCATGAGTTAAAATGTAATTGTCACAGGTAGCAGGCGGCATGGAGATTAAGGTGCTGGATCTGTATGGCTGACTATATGGTTCAAGTCACAGACCCAGTGGTTTGAAAATCATGCTCTTCATGTAAGCATGTGTGTCCAAAGTACTCAAAGGAGACAGAAGAAGATGGTATTCCAGCATGGCCATCATCCTGGGGCAGTGATGGACTACTCACTTTTCCTTTCTCTCTCTCTCTCTCTCTCTCTCTCATAAGCACATGTGTCCTACAGCAAAAATCTACATACATAAGTGTTTATATAGATATATAAATATCTCTATACCTCTCTCTCTACACATATAGTCACATACTAGAGGCATATACCTTGAAAAATGTTGCATGCTATAGTAATGTAGGATGATTGAACATAAATAGCAAATCAAAAAATTTAAAAATAAACTTCTTCCAAGTCTAACAGGACCTTCTTCCTAGTCATTTGGATTTCCAAAGTACAGACGTGTGGTAGAGACACAGCTGTTGATATATCCAGAAACTGATACCATTGGTTCTTCGTCAAGGGAAAGAACTGTGTTCACATGCTATGAAACCAAGTGTAGTTCTACAATACTTGACTTTGTGAAACTTGTGACAAAGCACATGGAAGTTTTATACTTATGACATGCATTAAGAATTGTCATTTAGGGGTTCATCAGGTGGCATGGTGGTTAAGGCACTAGACTTCCATATGGTTCACATCCCAGAGAGACTAGCTTGAAAATCACACCTAGTATGTGTGCATGTGTGCCCAAAATCCCAAAAGGAGAATGAAGGAGAAGAGACTGTAGCATGGCCATCTTCTGGGGGATGATCTCTCACATTCCCTCTCTCTGTGTCTCAGTCTCTCTCTCTCTCTCTCCAGCAAATATAGGCAACCTATCACAAAACCCTTAAATAAATTTTTAAAAAAGAACTGTCATTTAGTCTTTCACTTATGTAACATTGGGTAAGTTACAGGAGATATATATAGACCTCTTTATGTGCAATCAAATGAAGTTAGAAACTTTCCTTTCAATATAGTGCTGAAAGTTCCAAAATAATAAAAGACATTTGAATAGGGA